GTGTGTGTGTAGTATATATATATATATATATATATATATATATATATATATATATATATTATTATATATATATATATATATATATATATATCAAGTGTGTATACGAAGCCGAACAGTGTATGCCTGAGACAAATGAAGTCAAGTAGCGGCAACGCAGTCCAGCCTACATACTCAGGAAGCACCACTGTCCATCCTATATCTGCACATACTCAGTGCAACGACATACAATGACGGCAAACAATGTACTCGCCACAAACGCACGCGACAATAACCAACACGGAGTCTATCCACCAAACACACAGCTGCACTCACACTCTTTGACATCGGCTGGGCTTCTCATCTGGCTCGGCTGACCACCACTAGTGTGCTGAGCGGTCCCTCCTGTGTGTGGTGCGGTGGTGTCTGTCTGTGGCATTGTGTGATCGGATACCTTCTCATCGCTCTTGTGCCGTCCTCGGCGTTTGCGCCTACCTCCGGTGATGGGGGGTCGAGCATCACTCATACTGGCAGATGAGAGTCTATACAGTGGTTTATCAGGACCTATACAATGGTATTCAATGGTTTATGAGGACCTATACAATGCTATGCAATGGTATTCAATGGTTTATGAGGACCTATACAATGCTATGCAATGGTCTATAAGGGCCTATATGATGGTTTAACAGATCATAGACAACGGTTTATCAGAATCCATACAATGGTTCATGAGAGCCTATACAATGGTTTATAAGGATCTATACAGATATGCAGTGGTTTATGAGGACCCATGCAATGGTTTATAAGGGCCTATAGAATGGTTAATCGGGCCATACACAACGTTTCATTAGATTCTGTACAATGGTGTATGAGAGCCTATACAATGATTTCGCATCGATGTTATCGCTCGTGCTGTGCGAAGTTTGTATTCTAGACTGGCGGATACGTAGCTAACGATACAAGCCGTCTCTCCTGTATTGTGCAATGGCTATTCTTTGGTTTGTTTACTTTCCATGTAGAACGGCTGCTGCAACCAAATGAAAGACACGAGAGAGACTTTCGACAAGCGTGTGTATGTAGGGTATACCAGAAAACCAGAAAGGTTGCGAAAAAAGATGAACATTCGTGAAGCATATTACTATTGCAGCTATACTCCACCGTAAACCCAAAGAGTCCCTTTTGCAACCGTGTCTATCTGTGTGTGGATCTGTGTACGTAAGCATACGTGAGAACATATGTGTGTGTTCGTGCGACCATTCTTTGATCTGTGTATGTATAAGAGTGCATGCATGTGTACACGAGTACGTAAATTTTCTCACAGCTGTATGCTGAGAGTATACTATCAGCAGTGGTGATGTGTGTGTACTTTCGCTATGTGTCCACTTACTGTTTCGTGTACGCGTCCGTGGGCATGAGTTGACACTATGGTGGGTATATCACTGTATCCCAGCATAAATACTTTCGTGTGTGATAGAATACATAATAAGGTCGTGTTAGGACACATGAGTTCTGCAGGGTATGTAGAGCAAAACTTGGAACGTGTATTTTTACATGGACAACTATAAGTCTGCATATGGCAGGGGGGATGTGTCGCAGTAAACAACAGGTTGAATGTTTGCATAGATGCGTGTGCATTGATTAGTAAACTATATATTCTGTATGGACCTCATTCACGGCTGTTTTTTGTTTACACACATATATATATATATATGTATATATATATATATATATATATAATAATTTGACTAATACACATGCACCCATCTGATAAACAACCACATTTTCTTACGATACAAGTAAAGCAGAGTCTCGGTTATTTGACCATCTATGATTTAAGCACAGTCAATACATGGCTTGTACACAGCCTGTGTATAAAGCTTCTGTAAGTCGATGAATGGCTCTTACACAACATGTGTGTAAAACTTATGTAGCTAATGTGACAAAGTATAGTTGTGGTATGACAGCAAAAAGCGTAAATCTATTCCAAACATGACTGGAGTCACTAAACATTATGGAACAAGCACGAATGTACCTTTCGACTTGATTCTTCACCAGCGGTGACTTCGACCTAGGTCGCACCCACTTTCTCTCGATCTATGATGTGTGATGACCATGTGTTAAGTAGCATCTTGTGAAAGCTTAAACAGCAAAACACCTATTCGACTAGAACACACACTCCCTGAAAGTTCGTAGAACTGAAAGCACTCGATTCCCGTGTGAACGTATATGTGACTAAGCTAGCGTGTATATAGCATATTCACACAACATATGCGTGTAGTTGAGGAGAACACTCCGTCGCGTAGAATACTATACTTGCGTTATACTTGTATATAAATATGGCTATCGATTGCAGATTGATTTGCAATTTCTAAAGAATATTTTGTATTTCCATCATGCCGCCAAAAAGGCGAGCGCCTGTCAGTCACCCATTATTTTCCGAGTGCAATATTGATAAAATAAGCGTTATTTCCTAATCACCCCCCCAGGACATTGACCATCCTCGACGAGCTATCCTAGTTCCTACTAGTAGTAGGCGTACAAGACTGCAAGGAACTCGCGCACCGAATACATTATAATGGAGTGTTAGAGTTCGAAACTTACTCCAATACTTGTGTAATACCCCACCCGTTCAAATGTTCATTCAGCTACGCCCAATCGTGTCAATTGCGAAGGACGTTGTAGTTGAAGCTTACTTATATGTGCAAACGAATACTATCAGCTTAGCACACCCCGGAATTTATACACGCTTTCCAAGAACGTATAGTGTCTTGAACAAAGTTTATTGATCATCATCCGAGCCTATACTACAATCGGTATACCCTAGCGTATTATATACCTAAAAATCGGTTTCAGTTTCTCTCGTGCATACTACAACAGTGTTTCACAATAGCTGTATTTCATTTTGCGCAACTATCCCGGGTACAGCTAGGCATACATGAAGGCAGCTGCCCAACAATAAGTTCTCGGGTCATAAATCGGCGACGGTGTGTTTTCACAAATCACAAAGTGCCCTCAAATCAAGTATTGCAAATCCTAATTTATTCCGTTTTGAAGAAAAAAAGAACCCGAACTGTATGTACGCTAAGCATTTTAACACCCATTGCCACGAGGACGCATATCGGCTTAGTCAGAATCCGATTATAGTATTGACGGTAAGCGCATATCTGCTTTTGTTGGTATGCGATTATAGTATTGACGATCAGAGCGCGCAGAACTCCGCTTTAAAATTGAATTAACACAGAACTAGAGGGCGATAAAGTATGCCAGTGGAGAAAGCAGAAGTAGGTCTATCGAAGCGCCGCATATTAATAGTACATTCTATATAAACCACCAGGCGTGCAGATGTCAAGAAAATCATCGAATAGTATTTGGTTGATGATGCTCAAGTATCGTCTTCGAGCTATCGCTCAGATTGTTGATCCCCAATCAATTGACTCTTTAAACCCTTTTTCTATTCACGTCAATATGGAAATATGTATATGTTCGACTTTCTCTGCAGATTCAGAAAACTAAGCCACTAGTCCAAATAAAGTGGTAGCTCATGATTCAGTTATTGAGTGTTGGAGCAACCTGACCCTACAACCAAATTACCACAGAACATGGAGAATACCCTGTCGAATCCTGTATTGTATGCAATCATACACGATCAGTTGATTCCTAGATCTGTATATTTCTTGAAAATGGTACCGTGAACCATACTCCCACGGCCTTCAATCCTTCTCTCAATAATCAGAATAATCGATGTACAATCGCAAAACCTGAGTCAGCTACTTTGATCTTTGCTAGATCATATAATGGAACGACTGAACATGGGATACTATGAAAAATATCCCGAAAATGTATTCACGTCGTAACAGTCAACAAGCCAGTATCATCTCGTGTGCAGGGAATGAGCAGCGGGAACTGCTGCATGTCCAATGATTGATCTTTATAAAAAAATCTGGTTTCGACTGCATAATGCAAGCAGTGTTCGTTTGTTCACGAGCCGAATGTCACATAGATCTATTGAGGATTAATTAACAAATTACTTTGGCTGTCAATCAGTTAATGAAAAGGGAGAACGTGCCTGCTTGGCGCGGAGGATCTTGGGGCTTTTTTTTGTACAGCCTGCATCACATGCATGTGAGTCAGAGTGTATTGATGCCAAATCTGCCATATAAATACGCTCTGCGCGGTAATGTTAGCCTCAGTCTTTGCAAGTTGCACTATATACACCGCTCGACAAGGTATGCGAGACGTGAATGGTTGCAGAATCGGCCCATTGTATAGTAATGCCAGCTTTGTAGTATACTTTGTCGTTTGTCACCGCTTATCGCTTGGATTGTAATCGCATATCGGTTCAATTAGATATAAAACTAATCGACGGCTTCTGCGTGTACAAAAATGCAGTTTGTGCATGAAACGTATCTAAAAAATCTATATATTTGTTAATCTCACTCAGTTTCAGTGCCCCGTTGGCGAATCCATTCAACAATCTTATACAGATATGAAGATACAGCTCTGGCTTCTGTTGGCTGCAGCCTGCCTTGCAAGTGTGACCAATGCTGCGCATGTGTCAAATGACAACGGCGAAAATGATTCTTCTGAAGAGAATGTTGAAGATGGTAAGTCTAAGTTCCTTCCACATCCGAACAGCGGGCGTCGAGACACGTAAGGAAGTGGTAATAACTAGAAGAAAAGGTGCCGCTATTTATGTATGTCGCGCATAACTTCTGTGGGGATATGCACTTTCCAGAAGTCTGTTACCATAAAACATATTCTTTTCATTTCCAGGGACTTTTCTCGAGCGTTTTGAGCACAATTGATTTCAGTCGGCAGTCTCTAGATTATCAAGCGACATTGCACTACAGGATGCTGTAAATTTTATTCACTATTCACTCCTGCACAGCCCTAGCTGCCATTCCAAACCCAGAGATGTCGGCGGATTACAAGCTAGTTGATTTGGACGACTACTAATGACAGCAAAATGCCATCCGAAATATACTGCGCACGACCGAGTGGGTTGTTTAGTTCTCCATTGTGCCAATCTTTCTCCACTTCCGAGAAACGATGAGATCGCCCTTCTTCTGATTGACCACTTTAATATACCGTTGTTGCTGTGTGGAATCCATTGGCGCTGCTCGCTCCACCTAGCCGCTACCGTTGCTTCATCTACCAACATGACAAAAATATACATCCAATAGGTTCTTGAACGGACTGTTTAACATACGACTCATCGACAGCATGAGCTGAAGGTGCGATCATAAAATATCCGAGATAAAAAGTATACGCATATTCATATATATAATTTGGAGCAACAACGTACTCGGCAGCACACTATGATCGCCCGTATAGTAGAAATAAATGTATTAGAGTGTGGCCAGACGCGACCCATGCGACTTTATTACTCTGTACATGTGTAAGATGTTAGCAGATTAGAGGCGTAGTTTCCACTCATTAATCAGTACGCCCTGTGGTGCGCCAGTTGTCTGCCAACGTTGTTTGTTGAAATTTTGGCAACCAAGGTGACTTTGCCGTTTGGATTCGCCCGACTATTATTAGAAGGTTATCGTTAACCAGTTTAGAAGTCGAAAGGATCCTCGAAATCGCCTGTGGAAAAGCAAAAAAACAGAGAACAGAGACAGTAAGCAAAGAGACCACAACCGCAATTCAAAGGCGAACATCTACTGCTTTTGTACTTTGTTTCCAAAGACTGTGGAACTAATGCGAATATTGTCAGCAATTGTACACACTTCTACATTGATCTCGAGCTCTGGTATATGCATGTGCTCATATGCTTCATATATTAATTATCGCCTCAATTCTTGTATATATATATATATATATATATATATCAGTACGTTTCCCTACTT